TTTCACTTACACGATAATTGGTTTAAAAAATCTTAGCTTCATTTAAAAGAAATATTCTAGTGTTCGTGGACCTACAGGCTTCCAACATCCTGAATTCAACGCCAAAACCCGTGTGGGTCATTAAGCACAAGGAGTGCTGAAGGCTCGATCCTCTGTTCGCTAATCCGCCTGTAAATGAAAAAAAATGTGACTCGCTAGTAAAGGGTAATGCAGAGATAAACAGGCGTGATATCAAACAGGAATATATTATACGGTCATATGAAAACGGTAAAGCCGTAGGAGCATACAGGGTTGATTTAGAAAAGGGGGTATAATAGCTCCCATTGCTGTGATCCAGCACACTTCACAGGCATAGAGGCACTCCGTCTTCCAATACAGGATGTGAAGCTTAAAGCCATGGCAGTTGAAGAGTAACACAAGTGGTAGAGAGAGCTAGACAGCGTAACCCTTTATTATAACCACGTATCGTTCAAGTGAAACTTTTTAAAGCTCCCCGTGATCGAAAAGTCACGGGGAGCATAATTTTTTTTCGTCCAGTGAGTCAAACTCTGGTTCAGAAACTTAAGTCGTCTTCCAACTGTAACTCGAGGGTGAGAAGACTTTCCACAAGTTTGACAACCTATTACTCGAGGCTAAACTTTGCGTTATGAGCTACACAGAGCCAGTAATATGGGTCTTGTTCTTCCTTCTTGTGCTGCCGTCAAGACCAGAAAAACATACTAATATTCAGGAATATCTGCCTTTACTACTACTACTACTACTACTACTACTACTCTCTCTCTCTCTCTCTCTCTCTCTCTCTCTCTCACACACACACACACACACACACACACACACACACACACATCATATACCTTAACAAAGAATCATTAGGTACTCTATACTCGTCCGTTTCATCTATTATAGAATAAGCTTAGATGTCCAGCTTAGAAAGCAAGTTTCAGAACTAGAGAATGTCCAAAGGTTTGGAACGAGACCGGTCCCGGAGAGGAGAAAAATTAACTATGAGGAGAACTATAAAAATATGTAAATCTTATAGGAGGAGGCAAACTCCATACACAATTTCAAGAGTAGATATGATAGGGTCTGAGAGACCAGGAAATATTAGAAACCAGCTTTAACTGAAGTTAATGGGAAGGGAAAGGAGGTGTATCTCCACCCCAGCAAACTGAACTCTGTGAGTACAGTATCTCTGCGAGTATAGTTCTGTGAGTATAACTATGTAAGCAGAACTCTGAGTACCCAAACACATCGCCTAAGTCCTAATGTACTGCAGTACTAGTGTCACTAAAACTAACGTGAGTGAGATATCTTATGCCTCACGTACACTGCAGTACTGCGGTCACCAGGACTGATGCGGGAGAGAGAAAGAGAGAGATTAAGAGAGAGAGGGAGAGGAAGAGGGAGGGAGAGATGGAGGGAGGGAGGATAATGGGGACATCATGGCTCTCCAACAAGCGTCTCTGCCAAAAAATTAGCCATCGTTCCTGTGTTTGCCGCTACATTTTCCAACATCTGAGGGAACAAAAAACAGAATCTAAGAGGGAAAAATTGACTTTTAGATGCTATATCCTGGTGCATCAGGGAGGCAGTTCCGGGCCTGGGGCCAGAACCATCTTTATGAATTCGACGGATCATCTCTCATTTTTTTTTTTTTCTTTTTATTCTTGTGTCCCATCTCTTACCCCCTCAAGCTTTTATATTTTTTTTGGGGGGTGGGGAGGGGTGTTGTTCCATCTCTTGGTCTCTCAGTGTTCGGTTTTCTCTCTCTCGTCTGCTGTTCGTTTTTTTTTCGCCCATCTGATGTTCGGTTTGCCGTCTCTTGCCCACTTGCTGTTCTGTTTTTGTATCTCTTATTCTCCTGCTGTTTGTTTATCCATCTCTCGTTATCCTTCTGTTTGGTTTTCAGTGTCTTGGCCTTCTGTTGTTTGCATGTCAATATTTTTCCTCTTATTCGTTTATATGTTGTCCTATGGTATTTTTTTAAGTGAACACACACACACACACACACACACACACACACACACACACACACACACACACACATATATATATATATATATATATATATATATATATATATATATATATATATATATATATATATATATATATATATATATATAAACTGTTTTTATGCACACCAGAACTTGTGTTTTATATTTTAAGTTTAACTGTAAAGTATATCAGTGCAGAGTATAGTTGTGAGGTACACACATTCAGTATAGAATATGGCGTCTGCGCAGAGTATATTCTTCAGTGAAAAACATATTTTAAAGGAAAAATAAATTCATACACTGCACACTGAAATGACTTCGAAACTCCAAGAAAACAACCTGCTGCGCAGGCGGAACGTTTCAGCAATAAAGATACCCAAGCGTTGCACACGTGTCTTATTCATCGGAATACAGATTTTACTAAGGATCACTCGGCTTGACATTTACAATGCGCCTCCATTCCGCCAGTTGCCTTTTATTGCGGCTGTATGCTGGTGATGTTTAAGCCAGAGGATGCAGCTCTGTCTTCCTATATATCGTCGCTTCAACCGGCTGTGATAAGCTCCTGTGTGATGCGATAAGAACCATTGCAGCCATTGCTTTGGTCTGGCTGGCTTACTTTCCCGTCTGGTATTGAATTTCTCAAGATGCGGAGAAATGCGACAGTAGCTTCTTGGCTTGTTAGTTACCGTTTGTCAAAAGCACTTCTTGGTTTATGTGTGTGTGTGTCTGTGTTTCTGTATGTGGTCTTTCTTTTTTAATTTACATCCTTCTATTCCTTCTTTTTCATTGCTCTCTACTTTTTCTTTTTCATTTCTTTCTGTCCCCTACTCAGTGTGACCTTGGATGAGTCGACGACCTCTTCTAGACGTCTGGGTCTCTCTTGTGATGTGTAATTGGGAAACAGGAATGTGCCTTGGCCTTGGTCCTTTCGCATTTGACACATCACTGCATTGCGTTATGTTAATTTCTTGCTGCACTTAGCTTAGACATTTAATGTTCGGGTAGATATTACATTCCATACAGGCGTAAATTTCCCCTTACCTCAGTACTCTGAGAAGGTAGGCTGATAGGGACTTGGGTAGAGAGGCTGGTAGGTAGGTAGAAAGGTACGTACTCATTCTCAGTTTCAGTTAAGTGAACATTAAACCTTTAGCATTCCTTAAGCTGGATAACCCACAGGGTTATATCGTTTTACAGAAAAATAAATTATATTTCCTTGCACGATATTATAGATATATAGCTTAAAATTGCCGGTGTAAAATAGTAACAGCAGTGGCAACAGCAGTGGCAACAGCAGTAGCAACAGCAGTGGCAACAGCAGTGGCAACAGCAGTGGCAACAGCACTGGCAACACCAGCAGCAATAGCAACAGCAGTAGCAACAGCAATAGCAACAGCAGTAGCAACAGCAGTAGCAACAGCAGTAGCAACAGCAGTAGCAACAGCAGTAGCAACAGCAGCAGCAACAACAGTAGCAACAACAATAGCAACAGCAGTAGCAACAACAGTGGCAATAGCAGTAGCAATAGCAACAGCAGTAGCAACAACAGTCTCAATAGCAGTAGCAATAGCAGCAGCAGTGGCAACAGCAGTAGCAACAACAGTAGCAACAGCAGTAGCTACAGCAGCAGCAACAATAGTAGCAACAACAATAGCAACAGCAGTATCAACAACAGTGGCAATAGCAGTAGCAGTAGCAATAGCAACAGCAGTAGCAATAGCAGCAATAGCAGCAGTAGCAACAACAGTGGCAACAGCAGTAGCAACAGCAGTAGCAACAGCAGTAGCAACAGCAGTAGCAACAGCAGTAGCAACAACAGTAGCAGTAGCAGTACCAATAGCAACAGCAACAGCAGTAGCAATAGCAGTAGCAATAGCAGCAGTAGCAACAACAGTGGCAACAACAGTGGCAACAGCAGTAGCAACAACAGTGGCAATAGCAGTAGCAATAGCAACAGCAGTAGCAATAGCAGTAGCAATAGCAGCAGTAGCAACAACAGTGGCAACAGCAGTAGCAACAGCAGTAGCAACAGCAGTAGCAACAGCAGTAGCAACAGCAGTAGCAACAGCAGTAGCAACAACAGTAGCAACAGCAGTAGCAACAGCAGTAGCAGTAGCAACAGCAGTAGCAACAACAGTAGCAGTAGCAACAGCAGTAGCGACATATGCAAAGTTGAAATGTTAGTCCGTGCGTTAAGTAATAAACATTTTTTTTCATAGTCTGTAGGGCGGAATGTCACGTAATATCTGGTGTACGAAGCTGTGTGACGTTTTACAGTTTACTCCCGCATCAGGAGCTACAGGTGCTCCGCAGCATAGATGAAGAGCTGTACCATTTCATGTAACTGGAGGCGTGCAACCCGTGACAAGTAAATAAATTAGTGTTGAGCATATTGGCAAACAAAATATGTGCTACACAGCATTTGCTGGTTTACAAATTACACACAGTATAGAAAGGATAAGTTAGGCGACGTTTCTGTCCATCTTTGACGATCAAAACATTGGTTAAGAGGGAACATGAGAAAGAAGACAGGTCAGATGAAAGTCAGGTCACTCGTGCTTCTCGCCTCTATGTAGCTTATCCGACTGTGAACTACTGCTCGTAGCGAAGGTGTGGGCATCGAGCTGAACATCAGAATACTAGGAATTAGCGACGCACATTGTTTATATTAATTTCTTGAAGCAGTAACTTTTAGTTGATCGTTTCACATTTCTTGACGTATTTATTTTTTGCAGTTATCAGATCCTTAGTATTTCTATACACTTCAATAGTTTACATTTCTTTTCATTCTGTTCATCGTTTTATTACATAGTTTCCCACTTTAAACTCCACCTTTCATTCCTCTCTCCCTTGCTTCCAATCTCGCCTCTTAACCTTTTAAGCCCATTATAACCACCTATAAACTCTTTCCGCTCCCTCCTGCCCTGCCTCGCCTCTTTTTCAGTGTTCTCTTCTCCCTCTCGCCTCCTGAGTCTCCTCTCTCTCTTTTACTCCTCACAGGTGAGCCGGTAGAGTTCAGAATCAAGGGAGGGAACGAGGAGGGACTCTTCTCCTTGGATAGCACCAGCGGCCGCCTCTCTTACCTCCAGCCTCTGGATTACGAGGAGCAGCAGCAGGTAAGATGATAATATATGGTCGTGGGCTCTTCCTTCATGAACATTATTTGTTGTGAGAGAATTCCTTTCAATTTCTCTTCTAAGTGATATTTTTTCTTCCTTAGAACCATTATCGATGGTTCTGTTCTAGCTGCTTCTGGCTGTTCGTCGTTTTAACTATCACTAGTAAATCTATTTCCTAATAGATAAAACTTGCCATTTTGGCTTAATTAGCAACGCTTTTCTTGCCGAATATGGCAAGCGAAAAATTGTGTATGCAGTAATTTCGCAAAAATCATTCTGAACCTAACGAATAAAATATATTTCATTGTATTTGTTTATTATTAAATTATTGTAAATTTATCTAAAATATATTTAGTTGTATTAGGCTAAATCAAATTGCGCTTGTTACACTAAGGTATAGGTAAGTTTTCTAAGGTTCTTTTGGTACAAAATTATTAGTTTTTACATTAACATAAATGAAAAAATATATACATTTAAAGGTTTAAGAGAAAATTTGAGAAAGGACTTAATTTTGAATGAGTTCTTGCTAAGTGACCAATTTTACCTATTCGGCACGATATATATATATATATATATATATATATATATATATATATATATATATATATATATTTATATATATATATATATATTTATATATATATATGGGGAGAGAGAGAGTAAGGAAACGTGGCATATAGTGTAGGTGTGTTGAAGATAAAAGTATTAGAAACTGTTCTTTATATGTTGCTGTATCTGACTTGATTCTAAAGGTAGCTTCACTCACACCTCCAACAACTCCACTAACTTACACCGTTGGAACCACAACACTGACGACAATTTGCGCTAGTTTGGTCGTCGTCAAACACAAACCGTGGTGGGTCAACGTGACTGCCATCCCAAAGTTTTTGAGCTGCTGGTGACGAGCCTCACATACCTTGCCAGCGATGCTCGGTGGTGAGGTCTTTATCGTGCAGTGTTCAGTCTTCTTCCTGGCAGTGATTGTGTCTCCTCTCTGGGTTTATTATGTTTCGATCATTGGAAACTATCTCTCTACTTGTTAGGTAAAAGGATACAAGTGCAGCTAATATGACATCCAATTTCTTTATCAGTTACTGAGGTATGTATAGAGATAGTAATAATGTTGGTAGAATTACTGACAATATGTTAGGTAAAAGCCGTTACTCGGCTTGACAAAACTTCTTGAGAACGAAACGTTGCAACAATAAAATGTCGCATTAGTTGCACTTGTTTCCTTGTACCTAGCATGTTGTTAGTAATTTTACCAGCATTAATACAGTCTCTCTACACAAGCTAAAGTGCAGTGACTCGACGTTCCCTGAATCTGCTCAGTCTTACAACTAATAACGACCAGTTTTTCTGGTTTCTGACCTACAGTGCCATAAATAAAAAGTTCAACTTTAAGATCGTGTACTGCAGGAACCGACTTAGAGATCGTGTGTTTCAGGGATCAGGCCTAAGATTGTTGTTGCAGAGACTGACATCAAGAACATCTGTTACGGGGACCGTTTCAAAGATATCGTTTTGGGGGGACCATTTTAAAGATCACGTGTTGCTGGGACTGTCACAAGTATCACGTATTGCGGAGACCGTCCCTAAGCTCATGTGTTGCGGGGACCATATCAAATGTCACCTGTTGCGGGGATCATCACAAAGTTCATGTGCTGCTGAGACAGTCACAAAGATCACGTGTTGCGGGGACCGTCACAAATGTCAAATATTACGGGGACCGTAACGAAGCGTGTTGCGGGGACCGTCACAAATATCACGTATTACCGGGACCGTCACAAAGATAACGTGTTGCGGGGACCGTCACAAAGATAACGTGTTGCGGGGACCGTCACAAAGATAACGTGTTGCGGGGACCGTCAAAGACCTAGTAGTCGAACACCACACGATAAATTTTAATTGTTAAAGATTAACTCGGAATATCGCTTATATGTCGGCTTTCACTCACGGCGGTCAGTCCTGTTGAGCTTCTCGGCTTTCATTGTAAACAGTTAAGTGAAGCCTCTGTGATAACTAAATTTACAGTTTTCACTTAAATCTCTCAAATAGAAAAATCTGACTAACGATGTGGCTTTCGCTTACACCAGCGTGTTTGTGTTTCTGCTTATTCAACAACATGCGAGAGAGACTCACTCTCTCTCTCTCTCTCTCTCTCTCTCCTCTCTCTCTCTCTCTCTCCTCTCTCTCTCTCTCTCTCTCTCTCTCTCCCCTCTCTCTCTCTCTCTCTCTCTCTCTCCCTTCCCTTACACTCCAATTCATATATCACTCCAGCCCACGGATACTATTCCTACACACACACACACACACACACACACACACACACACACACACACACACACACTACTAGTACTACCCATACACACACACAATCACTCCTACCCATACACACACACACCACTCCTACCCATAAAGCACACACACACCACTCCTACCCATACGCACACACACACACTGCTCCTACCCATACACACACACACACACCACTCCTACCCATACACACACACACACTGCTCCTACCCATACACACACACACACACACACACACCACTCCTACCCATACGCGCACACACACTGCTCCTACCCATACACACACACACACACACACACAACACACACCATTCCTACCCATACACACACACACACCATTCCTACCCATACACACACACAACCACTCCTACCCATACGCGCACACCCACTGCTCCTACCCATACACACACACACACACAATCACTCCTACCCATACACACACACACCACTCCTACCCACACGCACACACACACTGCCCCTACCCATACACACACACACCACTCCTATCCATACACACACACACACACACACACCACTCCTACCCATACACACACACACCACTCCTACCCACACGCACACACACACTGCCCCTACCCATACACACACACACCACTCCTATCCATACACACACACACACACACACACCATTCCTACCCATGCACACACACACACCACTCCCACACTCACACACCACTCCTACCCATACACACACACACACACACACACACACACACACACACACACACACACACACACACACCACTCCTACCCACACACACACACACACACACACACAACCACTTCTACCCACACACACACACACACATACACACCACTCCTACCCACACACCACTCCCTACCCACACACACACACACACCACTCCTACCCACACACCACTCCCTACCCACACACACACAACAGCCACCTCAGCTTACATCAATCCTACCCTAACAATGGCTCACCTTAGAGCAGACTACAAGAGAAACATAAAGGGTATAGATGATCAGGCAGGGAGAAGGGAGTGCAGTAAAATTATCCCCATCTAAGGGGAACGGAACAACGTACCTAAAGGAGCTACTTGAAGCACGCACCGTCGGCTTAATAAGGTGAACTGGGAAATAAACGAGATCAAACGGGAATCCGCTTCTGATGCCTGGGCTAAGATACCACAGGAGGTGGAGATATGGATAACTGAGGAGCAAGAGATAAAGATTGAGGTGAAATTAATGAAGTTTAAGGACGAGACAGAGGAAAGAGAAAGAAAATTAATGGAGGAAATTAGAGGAAACAGGGAATATGCCAGAAAGAGAGAGGGAGAGAGAAGGAGAGATGGACTTTGAAAATGAAGTTAGGGGGCTAAGGCAAGATGTAAAAAAGGTTGAGCAAATAATCAGGTGGAAACAGATCAGACAAAAAACTTTGTAAATATATATATATATATATATATATATATATATATATATATATATATATATATATATATATATATATATATTATAGTGTGTGTAATAAATTTACATTTCAATGTAAACTTGAAATTTCGTATTTTTTTTTTTTTTCATCGTGCTTGTTTTAGCATATTTTTTCTCATTCTTTTATTTTTGTGTACATCTTTTTCATCAGAATCTCTCTTCTTTTTCAGCATAATTTTTCATTTAGGGAGTTGACATCTTTTTTTTTTATTAATCATGCTTTCTCTCATCTCTGGTCAGCACGAGTTGGTGGTGGAAGCTAAGGTCGGGGAGGCGACGAGTGAAACAAAGGTGGTGGTAAGAGTTCGGGACGTCAATGATCACGCTCCGGCGTTCCCCAGGGAAGTGCACGAGACCCAGATCACTGAAGAGGACGACAGACACCTGCCCAAAACTATTCTTACGGTGAGTACACACCACCTCTCCCATGTTATTTTATAGGTCAAAAATAAAATCTTCAGGCAAATTTTTCACGGTCAGCGCATCTTTCCACGATTATCTTCAAGGTCGATATTCTTTCACAAAGTTATCTTTGAGGAAAAATTGCACTTTCCTTAAAGTTCATCCTCAAGATGTTACATTTTCTCATTTTTTTTTTCAAGATCCCCGCCACAGTAAACACTGTTTTCTCAAGACCTTCGCCATAATAAACACACTCCATGATACATCTTGGCAGTCAGTACACATTCCTCAGGATCATCCTCTGATCACTACAGTTTTACAAGACCTGCCTCGCATGTCTAGACGCATTTGCAAAACAATTTTCACGGTGAATACTCTTTCTAACACCATCTCCACGGTCCTTGCACTTTCTTACACCATCTCCACGGTCCTTGCACTTTCTAACACCATTTCCACGGTCCTTGCACTTTCTAACACCATCTCCACAGTCTTTGCACTTTCTAACACCATCTTCACGGCCTTTGCACTTTCTTACACCATCTCCACGGTCCTTGCACTTTCTAACACCATCTTCACAGTCCTTGCGCTTTCTAACACCATCTCCACGGTCCTTGCACTTTCTAACACCATTTCCACAGTCTTTGCACTTTCTAACACCATCTCCACAGTCCTTGCACTTTCTAACACCATCTCCACGGTCCTTGCACTTTCTAACACCATCTCCACGGCCCTTGCACTTTCTAACACCATCTCCACGGCCCTTGCACTTTCTAACACCATCTCCACGGCCCTTGCACTTTCTAACACCATCTCCACGTTCCTTGCACTTTCTAACACCATCTCCACGGCCCTTGCACTTTCTAACACCATCTCCACGTTCCTTGCACTTTCTAACACCATCTCCACGGACCTTGCACTTTCTAACACCATCTCCACGGCCCTTGCACTTACTAACACCATCTCCACGGTCCTTGCACTTTCTAACACCATCTCCACGGCCCTTGCACTTTCTAACACCATCTCCACGGTCCTTGCACTTTCTAACACCATCTCCACGGACCTTGCACTTTCTAACACCATCTCCACGGCCCTTGCACTTACTAACACCATCTCCACGGACCTTGCACTTTCTAACACCATCTCCACGGCCCTTGCACTTACTAACACCATCTCCACGGTCCTTGCACTTTCTAACACCATCTCCACGGCCCTTGCACTTACTAACACCATCTCCACGGTCCTTGCACTTTCTAACACCATCTCCACGGACCTTGCACTTTCTAACACCATCTCCACGTTCCTTGCACTTTCTAACACCATCTCCACGGACCTTGCACTTTCTAACACCATCTCCACGGCCCTTGCACTTAAACTAACACCATCTCCACGTCCTTGCACTTTCTAACACCATCTCCACGGTCCTTGCACTTTCTAACACCATCTCCACGGTCCTTGCACTTTCTAACACCATCTCCACGGCCCTTGCACTTTCTAACACCATCTCCACGGCCCTTGCACTTTCTAACACCATCTCCACGGCCCTTGCACTTTCTAACACCATCTCCACGGCCCTTGCACTTTCTAACACCATCTCCACGGCCCTTGCACTTTCTAACACCATCTCCACGGTCCTTGCACTTTCTAACACCATCTCCACGGTCCTTGCACTTTCTAACACCATCTCCACGGTCCTTGCACTTTCTAACACCATCTCCACGGTCCTTGCACTTTCTAACACCATCTCCACGGTCCTTGCACTTTCTAACACCATTTTCATAGTCTGGACACCTTCATTATTTTTTTACGTTTTTTTTTTCAGGACATTGGGCAGTACGCCAAAGATTCCATAAATTGGTCTTATATGTTAACTTCAGAATATGTTGCAGTTTTTATCCTACAAAGTATTTTCTTATTTGAGTCAACATCATTTCTTAAATCTCAAGATGTATATAATTATACATATATAATTATAATTATACTTATAATTATAATTATAATTATAATTATAATTATACTTAGTTATGCTGTACTCTTATATTTCTTGGTAAATATTCAAGAAATTGTGTGAGTTAAATTGGCTGGACGAAGGTAAATCATTGATATATATTTTAAATTACACTGTAAAGTTGACTTCGTCGTAATGGACGAATGCCGGTTAATAAACGGAAGAATGGACAAGGACGTTAACAGTGGTCCTGGCAGCAGCTGTACCACTGGTACAGTGATGAACCTGATACTGCCATCACCACAGTTCGTCTCCATCCATTCTTCCGTTTATTCATCATTCTTTTTGTAGTTTTGTATCTCTACACTAGCAGCATTTACGTATTAAATGTCGACAGTTACTGAAGTCAAGTCAGATGCGCTTGATCCAAGGAATTTTATTATTATTATAATTATTATTATTATCATTATTATTATTATTATTATTATTATTATTATTATTATTATTATTATTATTATCATTATTATCATTATTATTATTATTATTATTATTATTATTATTATTATTATGAAGTAATAAACCTCTTAATTTTGCAACATGGAAGCGAAACGTAGCTGAGAAATTGGAGCTGATCTTTCTTTCCTCGGATCACACTATGATATTACTTCCCATTCCTCAGGCTCTGCATGACCCCCATGGGTTTAGTGCTTCTCCATGAATAATAATAATAATAATAATAATAATAATAATAACAGGTTGAAGCAAGGATTAATTAAAGAGCATTTACAAACATTAATTCCTGGCTAGGTATCTGAGACTTCGCCATGATGGAGAGAGAGAGAGAGAGAGAGAGAGAGAGAGAGAGAGAGAGAGAGAGAGAGAGAGAGAGAGAGAGAGAGAGAGAAAGGAGTGTGTGTGTGTGTGTGTGTGTGTGTGTGTGTGTGTGTGTGTGTGTGTGTGTGTGTGTGTGTGTAGGTGCGTGCGTGTGTGCGCGCGCGAGCGAGGGGCATGAGGCAGTGATAGGGGAATCTATAGCCAGCAGCTAAACATAAATTAGATCATATATTAGATCATTGGTTGATTATGCTGCGCCACTACTTGCTCTTGTGTCTGACTGGAAGCTTGAAGGGCTGGAAAAACTGTAGAACGAAGCAATGAGGATCATTTTAGGATGCCCTCGTACTGCCAAAATTTTAAATATGCATCAGAGATCGTGTTACTGAAAGAAATATCCTAATTGGGGTTAATATGTTCAGGCAAGCCCATTCAAAACCCTGCACAGAAGCCCTCCATACTTTCCTCAGCACTGGTGAACACTCCTCCAGATGGATCGAAAAAACTGGAACCGACCTCCGCATGAATCAGATACATGATCTATGTCAAGTAAGGCAACAGCGGCACTTCTCCGCTCCATGGAATATTACCCCATTCCAAACTACCATTCCTCCATTTCCCCCCAAACTACTTCTTAAATCACAACCAAAACTTCGCCTTGAAGCCAAACATGATGCCTTAAGCTGTATTGATAACTTAGTCACACAGCACACACACTCGCAAATTATTTACGTTGGTGGTTCTGTTCACCAATCCACTGGTGCAGCTGGTAGTGCTGCTGTTGTCGTACAGAGTGATGGCTCTCTTAAAGAAATTGGAGCACGCATCAATAATTGGGCCTCTACCCTTCAGACAGAACTGTTTGCCATACTCCTTGCACTGAAATGCATCTATGTATCTAAGATTGACAGTTTAATTGTAACTGATTCTCTGTCATCCATAAATGCTCTCAACTCATTAAGCATAAATTGCGGCATGCTTGTGTCAGAAGCCAGACACAGGTATGGTAAGATTGTGGACAGTGGAGTCAGAGTGCACATGCTGTGGATTCCATCTCACATTGGTCTTCAGATGCATGATAGAACTGATAAATTAGCTAAGCTGTATGCTTTCAAAGAGGGAGTAGATTGCAATCTTGGCATTCCAGGTAGTAGTTTGAGAACAATAATACGAAAAGAACTTCAACTGAATTTTATTGACTTAAGACTCAGGGAGATTGACACCAGTGAGTCCATCTATCATCATTCTATCATGCAGGAGGAGCCACATGTCTATGGTGCATCCAACAAAATAAGCAGACTCTTGGATGTCACTACTGCCCGGCTCCGGCTGGGTTACAAGTATCTTTGGCAGGTTAAATCGCCACCACCAGATGTAGACCAAACGAATGTAACCTTTCCAGATGGACTATTGTCACACCCTGCATCATTATGTACTGGAGTGCGATAAAATTAATGAATTTAGAAACAACTCACTCAGAAGTGTTCAAGAAATGGCAAGGTATTTTATCCACAGTGGTATATTACAGACCATTCTGGAGAAATACCCTGACTTTGCTAGCTGTAAATAAAGCATTACCACATGTGTGTGTGTGTGTGTGTGTGTGTGTGTGTGTGTGTGTGTGTGTATGTATGTGTGTGCACTCACCTAGTTGAGATTGCAGGGGTCGAGTCCAAGCTCCTGTGTGTGTGTGTGTGTGTTTTTTTTTTTTGTGTGTGTTTTTTTGTGTATGTGTATGAGTGTGTGTGTATGTGTGTGTGTACGAGTTTGTGTGTGTGTTTGTGTGTGTGTGTATGAGTGTGTGTGTGTGTGTTTGTGTATGAGTGTGTGTGAGTGTGTGTGGGTGTGTATGTGTGTGTGTGTGTGTGTGTGTCTGTGTGTGTGTGTACGAGTTTGTGTGTGTGTGACTCAACAATCAACATTTACACCAATAACTCATTACAGTTGTGACCGGGTGTGGAAGTGTGAATTGCTCATTACTCTGGAATTTGTTCATGATTGTACCCATGTATAAACGTAAGTAACCATTCTTACAGGATTCATTACCTTTGTAACTTGTGAGTTCATTACCTTTGTACCTAGTTCAGCTATCAAACTTTGGAGCCCAGTCCCTGGACCCAATACGTACCTCTGTAATCTGTAAATACCTTTGTAACTTGTCGTAATTGTGACTAGACCTACCTGGAGTTCATTACCTTTGTAAATTGTGAGTTCATTACCTCTG